CCTCTCTGTGTCTCTCCCTTCCCTCCGCCTTTCATTCATCTTTCCGCAAGCGACAAGGCTGCTGCTCCGAGACGCGTGAAACGAAAACTGCGGCGTAGGAGTGATGCGTGCTCTAATGGGGCCGCCTTAGGAGTGTGGAAGCCCAGGGGAGGGACCTCAAGTTTCCGGCGGAAAGCTCTAGGAGGCGCTGTGACGAGGTGTTCGCCTTGGGAAGGGGCGCCGTCTTGGTCTGCTCTGGACACACAGGGCTCAGGCCTGCAGTGAGCGGGGCAAGGGCCGGGGAGGCCATGGCCCCTGTCTCAGGGCTCACAGGCTGGGCAGGGCGCTCCAGGAGCAGGACGTGGGGGAGAAAGAAGTGAACCTCCGGCGGGCTGAGACGTCCCCAGGGATTTGCGCTTCCCAGAGCCGGCGCTGCCCTGCCCAGGTTCAGGAGGGGCGCAGCTGGACAGGGTTTTGGGGGCGTGCAGTGGCCAAAGGAATTGCCCCCCTAAGATGGGTGCCCAGTCCAGCCCTGGAAGAGTGGCACACACAGCCTAGAACGCTGGAGGAGGGTGTATGACCGGCAACCCTCTCTCCCCTAGATCCACCCTTCAAGCTCATCACACTGCCCAGGAAGCTCATCTTGAACAAGGGGCAGAGCTGGCCAGACTCAGGCTGCAGCCATCCTTTATGTATAAGCTTCTAGCCAGGCCTCTGGACTGGTGGCCTGCAAAGTAGGGGACTGCCACCCTGGATGCAAGACAATTACCAGTGGGAGGGAAGAAAGTATTGTCGTTGTTGTTAGGTACCATTGAGTTGGCTGCAACTCATAGCGACCCTATGTACAACAGAAAGAAACACTGCTGGGTCCTGTGCCGGGCTCACAGTCCTTGCTGGAAACTATTGGGATGTTTAGTTCTAATAAGAAAGAAGCTACTATTTAAAAGGCAGATTGATGATGAGGGCTTCACTCTGCCTGTTGCTCAGGTGGACCTAGGTCACTTGCAGTAAGGTGTCCCAAGAAGTCATGGGGGCCCCCCCAGGGGCTGGCAGCAACATCTTCCCTTGGTTACATCCTTCATCTGTAGGCTGTTAGGCCCACCACCTGTCTGTCACTTTGTCGCACATGTTTAGTGAAGTGGAGGGGCAGTGAAGACAAGGGAGACTCCCAGGGAGGTAGATTGATATGACACCTATGATAATGGCCTTGAACCTACCAACAAGACAACACAGGACCAGCAACCTTTTGTTCTTTTGTACATGACGTCATCACGAGTGGAAGCCAGTGGTAGCTCGTGACAATATATCAGGCAGGGTCTTACAGGAAACAAGGCACACTCTGTAGTGAGAATTGAGGATAGGTGACAAGGAGATATTTACAGCAGACCAGCAGGGCTGAGAGAAACAAGGATTAGTGCAGTCGCAGGGGTCAGCAGTTACCACTCCAGACCTGAAGGGGCTCAGCGCAGTCCCCTGATAGGAGAGGCGGCTTGACAGGTATTGTACAAAGGGATGTGGCTGACTGGGGGACACAGTGGGGTGGCATGGGGGAGGGAATGGAGTGTGGCATAAATTCCTGGGTCATACTCTCCAGCCTGCCTTCCTCCATGATATGCCCCACGTTAGCCATGCCAGAGGCAGAGCAGGCTGGGGAAGGGCAGAGAGTGGGCCCGCGGGGTGTAACTTTCTTTCTTCTTTCCTTGCTTGCTTTGGTTGAGTGTGGCTGTGGGCTAGTGAATTGCTTAATGTGGCTCTTCCAGCCATGGTCTTTGTAACTCCCATTGGATGACTGGGTGGAGCTATGCAAATGCAAGGTGCTTGTGGTCCACCAAGAGGCTTGAATAACTTATTAATAATGTAAATTAGGTGCATGGTACCCTTATGGAGGTGGGGCCGTGGAAATAAGGTGTAAGGAACCCTAAAGTAGGGATTAGTCAGTTTTGCCGCCCTGCTAGATTTAAAGTGAGCCATGCTGGAGGTGGAAAGGGGGAATCTTTCTGCCATCAAGAAAGAAGAACCAGGAGAGGGGCCCATCCTTAGACCTGAGATCCCTGCTCTGAGATGGCAGATGGACAACCAGCATGAGACAGAGCAATGGGCTTCCCTGCCCACAGAGCAAGAAGGCTGAGTGCCTTTGGGCAGGAGGCTTGCTGGGGGAGCAGGGTGCACCCATCGGCAGAGCTGAAAGAGCTTTGTAACACTTGGCCAGAGACCAGGCTGAAAGGCTGAGGGCCAAAGAGAGGTGTGCCTGTGGCATGGCTGAAGGGAGGCTGTCCTGCTGGAAGAATTGGATCCTGAGCTTTCCTGAACCTGAATTGTAACCTGTCACTTCCCTAATAAACCAATAATCATGAGTGTTGACTGTGAGTTCTATGTGGTCATCGCAACAAATGATGGAATCCAGTGGAGAAGTAGTGAGTGCTGTCGGAGGGACGGTTAAGGTCAGAATTGGTAAAAAGGTTGGAGGGCGGCAGCACATCTGACTTCCTCCTCATAGGAATCCGCCTTGGGCTGTTGCTGGTGGTGATTCCGTCTCGCCGTCGTGAGGTGAGAGGTGGTCAGAAGATGCCTCCCATGTCTTTTTGCAGCAGTGGACCACACTGCTGTTCTAACCTCCCATGCATGTGCTCATCTCATGTCTCCTCGACTATCCTCATTAACTGAGCCTTCTTTGTCACTCTCTGCCTCCTTCCCTGGATTTATTATCTTCATGGCACCGATTTATCTGTCATTAGAGTTGATTGTTTATTCGCCGTCTTAGTTTCCTGTGGCTGCTGTAACAAGTAACCACACATTTTTTGGTTTACAACCTGACTATAAATTTGCTCACTCTCAGTTCTGGAGCCCAAAGGTCAAAATCGGTTTCACTGGGCCAGATCGAGGTGTCGGCAGGGCTGTGCTCCCCCTGGAGGCCCTAGGAGAGACCCTTCTTTCCTTCCCAGTTTCTGGTGGCTGCTGGCATTCCTTGGCTTGTGGTTGTATCACTCTAATCTCTGCCCCTGCTCACATTGCCTTCTCTTCTGTGTGTGTATGTGGGTGCCGAATCTCCCTCTACCTCTTTCTTCTAAGACACTGGTGATGGTATTTAGGGCTCACCAGGACAATCCAAGGTCATCTCCCCATCTCAAAATTCATAATTTAGTCACATCTGCAAAGACTTTTCCAAATAAGGTAGCATTCACAGGTCCCAGAGATTAGGAGCATTCCAGCTGCTGGAAGTGAGAATGGCCAGACTTGTGGTCATGTTGTGAGAAGGGCACATTCCCTGAAGAAGGATATCATGCTCGGTAAAGGGGAGGGTCAGCGAAGAAGGGAAGGCCCTCAGTGAGATGGAGTAACACAGTGGCTGCAATAATGGGCCGGCATAGGAACGATTGTGAGGCCGGCTCAGGACCGAACAATATTTCGTTCTGTTGTACGTGGGGTTGCTAGGAGTCAGAACTGATTCGATGGCACCCAACAACAACAGGGATTAGGACTTGAAGGATTTGGAGTCAGTCTCAGCCTACCACATTCACTTAGCATCTTTGTACTTGAGTGCATAGCTAGTTGTCTTAGGCTGGGTTCTCTAGAGAAGCAAATTCACTGAAGCTTTTATATATGCATATACATAAATATATGTGTATACATATATATGTGTATATAGGTGTGCATACATATATATGAAGAGAGAGAGAGAGAAGGAAGGAGGGAGGGAGAGAGATTTATCTCAAGGAAATGGCTCACACAGTTGTAGAGACTGGCAAGTCCCAAGTCTATGGGTCAAACATCAAGCTGAAGGCTTCTCCTCACTCACACAGCTGCAGGGACCAATGGATCCAAGATGAGCAGGCAATTCAGGAGCAAGCTCCTGGTTTCAGAGGCTGATGAATCCAAGCCTGGCAGGTCAGATGGCAGGCAGTTGCTTCACAGGCTGTAAAGGCAAGAATCCCAAGATTGGCAGGCAACACATGGCAGGGCACCAGTTCAAGTCCAGATGATGACAAGCCAGATGCAGGATCCAGAGTGAAGAGCCGGAGACCTTTTCCACATGTGTTGGGAGCAGGCCACACCCTGGAGGGAACACTCTTTCAACTGATTGGACTGCTTGTAGCAGCTCTCATCATGGAAGTGAATACATTGTATCAGATTTCATCATGGAGATGATGACTACATCATAACTGCCAAACCACTGAGAATCGTGGCCCAGCCAAGTTGACACACAACCTTAACCATCGAAGTGTGAAAGCAGGGAGCCTATCTCTTGCTCTTCAGACATAGTCTCTCAGGTGAAGGGGGTCAGAAAAACCAGTCTGATACTCCATGCCGTGTGGTGATGCATGCTTGGGAGAAAAGGAAGCAGGGCCAGGCAGGGAGTGGAGGAGCCAAGGAGCAGGAAAGTCGGCAATTTTGTGAAGGAGATCAGGGAAGGGCCTGGAGGAGGTGAGGAAGCCCATGACATTGACAGCCAAGGGATGAGCATTCTGGGCAGAAGAGACAGGAGACTTCAAGGCCTGCAGTGCGTGGCTTGTTGTATTGAGGTTAGGAAGAGGGCTGGAGCGACCTCATGGTGTGGTGGTTGGTGCACTTCAGGTAGGACCTCCTAGGCCACTGCAAGGCCTCTGGCTTTGGCT